AAGTAGACCAGCTCCTCGGTGAGACTCTCAATCTGTATCTCCAGGTCAGAGCGAGTCATGGTCAAGCCATCCAGGACTTTCCTTAGGCCATTGATGTCAGCCTCCACACTCTGCCGGAGACACAGCTCGTTCTCATACCTGGAAGGGGCAGCAGTAAGGCAATAAATACCGTGAGCTCACCTGGCCACATTTCAAAGAGTACCTTCCATTCTTACATATTAAAAAACTTCTCACCTGTGGGCATTTTGAATAAATAAAGATTACTAAGTTTTCTCTTGGGAAATTTTTCCTTCTAAAGAAAAATACCAGTCTAATATTAATTTTAATCAAGTCTAATATTTTTAATAATACAATTCTCATTCTAAATCTACCTCTTTCTTTTTCTTTTTGGTGAAATAGTGGTCTAAAGTTTACCCTTGGGATGTTTGTAAATTTAGGTCATAATCTTCTTATATATTATATATAAAATTATATATAAGAGGATTATATATTATATATAAATATATAATATAAATATATATATTTGTAAAATTTATTTTTTCCTATAACACTTGTTTTCAAGTCTTCGTTTCCTTACTTCAGTCTGAAGTCATCAGCAGCCAATCTGGCATTGTCAATCTGCAAAATGATCCCAGCATTTTCAACAGTGGCAGCAATGATCTAAAAAAGATGTTAATAGTGAATGGATCACAAATGATTTTTACCTTGTGTCTGCATGCCTACCTGTAAGGGTAGATGTTGCCTGTGTTATTAGCTCATGTGCATGTGTGTGTGTGTGTGTGTGTGTGTGTGTGTGTGTGTGTGTTTAGAGACAGTTTTGCTCTGTCACCCAGGCTGGAGTGCAGTGGTGAGATCTCGGCTCACTGCAACCTCTGCCAAGTGATTCCTGAGCCTTGGCCTCTTGAGTAGCTGGGATTACAGGTGCATGTCACTATGCTCGGCTAGTATTTTTGTATTTTTAGTAGAGACGGGTTTTCACCATCTTGGGCAGGCTGATCTCAAACTCCTGACCTAAGTGATCTGCCCACCTTAGCCTCCCAAAGTGCTGGGATTACAGGCATGAGCCACTGTGCCCAACCTGTGTTATTAGCTCTTAAAGGTGACTTGCTTTGCAAACTTATTTAGTAATGACACCTGTATATCTGGGGCTGATATATTTAGGACTAAATCTTTCTGCAAAATGGTAACAGTTTGCACATTTATTGGACTAGGCACAAGACCCTGTTTTACAGGACATAGCCCTCTGCATATTTCTGCTGCTTTGTTAGATCATTTTCTCATGAGCTTTTTTAGAAAACAGTGCAAAAATTGTATTTCACTTTCAAAAAAACGCTTTAAAAATATATTTCCCATGCAAGAGTGGCTAAACATTTTAGATTCTACTACATCCTTATGTAATATTTGCACCAGATTTTCTAGGAAGAAAAATAATCCTAAAGACGATTTAAATCTACTAAGACACTAACATATGTCAATCTGTCAGAATTAATCATAAATAATTAGATTGAACTAATATAGACTCACTGCCATCATTCTTATATAGAAATGATAATTAGCTGCTTGGCATTGTATACATTTTACTCTTATGTAGAAATACTGAAACTGAGATGCAAACAGAAAGTTAATGTTATTGGATGTCACATAAAGTACTATAATGATTAAGACACATCAGGCTCCACTCTGCATGTATAACAAGGAAATATGTCTTTAAATCTATTTCTTAACTTAAAATTTTCATTACAGTACATGATCTGAATAAAAGTGAAAGATCCACAAATAATAGAAACTCACGCATAGATAGAGTCTCACCTGGTTCCTGAGATCTTCAATTGTTGGATAGTATTTGCTATAATCTCTTCCAGATCCATTGTCTCCAGACCCAGGCCCAAATTTGTCATACCACTCCTTGATTTTATTCTCCAGATCAGTGTTGGCCTCCTCCAGAGCTCTGACCTTGTCTAGGTAATTGGCCAGGCGGTCATTGAGGTTCTGCATGGTTTGCTTTTCCCCTCCAGAGAAAAGCCTCCCATCGCCAACACCACCTCCCATACCACCACCATAGCTGCAGAAGCCTCCACCAGCACCACCACTGAATCCAGAACTCCCACAGAATCCAGAACCCCTGCCAAATCCAGAGACCCCGCCAAAGCTAGAACCCCCACCAAAGCCTGCCCCAGAGCCTGAAGGTCCCCCCAAACCACCCCCTACTGAGCAGCTACCAAAGCCTCCTCCAAAGCTGCCACCAAAAGCACCGCTGGACCCCCCACTCAGGCCACAGCTGCCGGCTCCTCCTTGGAAGCCCCAGGCCAAGCTGCCCCCAAGAGCACATCTGCTTCTACTGCTGAAGCTGCTTCCACCAGCAGACACCCTGGCTGAACTGCTGCCTCCAGCTCTGGAGGAGGAGACGCGGGATGAGCAAGACATGGTGCTCCTGCAAACGTGAGCTTGTCCAGGCGAATAGGAGAGGTGATGACAAGGAGTTATTCAAGGCTGCCTTTTTGCCTTTATATACACTCTTGGAGGGTGTTCCTTTTCTCTGTCACTTCTTAATCCCTGTTACAGTTTTGCTAATCTGTAATTGGATAATTACTTTTTCTTGAACACTTCTCTGAAGCTAGGTCAGAGCCCTGGGGCATTTACCATATCAATAACAATAAAAAAAAAAAAAAGAGTAAGGTGGAGCAAAACAAAAAAATTTTCAGAATTACTGGTTTAATCTTTCAGAGGTTTTGATGATTGGTAACTTCTCTGGAAGTGTAGTTCCATTAAATTTGCTTCATGATTTCATATTTGCAGAGAATATCACCAGGTTAACAAATGTAAATAAAATACTTAATATGATGAGAATAAGAATTTCCCATCAATCGTGTATCTTTTTATTCATATTGTTCTCAAAAGCTGAAATTAGCTTTCACATTAGCAATAATTTTGGATTAATTAAGCATCTATCTCTTTGATTATTTTGATCAGCATGTTTTTTAAGGTTGTTGAAGTTTGTGGTTTTAAGTTATTTCTTCCTTTGTACTTTTTGTATTTTGTACAAAATTATATGTTTTTATAGTTCATCAGGAAAACATAATAGTTTTTCAGGTAAGTATTATTAGATCTCAGCAACAGGTTTATTCAAGTAGATAATGTCTAAGAAAGATTGGACAAGTATTTAGGTAGATCGTTTTAATATGCTTTTCTTTCTGGTTGAATTCTAGTCTTATATAAAGAGAGCAACTTCCTTCTTGAGTCAAATTTCAAGAAATGAAGAGATGATGCTGTTATCTCCTGCCTTCATTTTAAAGATAAAAGAGGATTTGTATCTACTTCTAATAACTAGTGTTACAATTGGAGTTATTTTATAGATTCTGAACCCTCCCGAGTTCAGTTGTGCCTCAGGGGTTCTTTTTGTTCCTTTGTACTTTAGACAGTTTCCGTTCATGTCTTCTGGTCATTTCACAGACTAACCTTGATTCTGTGATTTGCAAGCTGTCTAGAACGTTGGTGGGTAGTGGATCAAAGGATTTTGATCATGTATAAAAAATACAACTCTGTTCTTGCCTGAAGTGTTAGAATTCTTTAGTAAACTTAGGTTTAATAGGGACTTTTTTTTTTTTTTTGAGACGGAGTTTCGCTCTTGTTACCCAGGCTGGAGTGCAATGGCGTGATCTCGGCTCACCACAACCTTTGCCTCCTGGGTTCAAGCAATTCTCCTGCCTCAGCCTCCTGAGTAGCTGGGATTACAGGCATGTGCCACCGTGCCCAGCTAAGTTTTTTGTATTTTTAGTAGAGACAGGGTTTCACCATGTTGACCAGGATGGTCTCGATCTCTTGACCTCGTGATCCACCCGCCTCGGCCTCCCAAAGTGCTGGGATTACAGGCTTGAGCCACCACGCCCGGCCCAATAGTGTCTTTTTAAAAGACAGATACTGTATAATTACAGTAATAGGAGGTGCCTGGAGTAGTCAAATTCATACAGAAAGAAGGTAGAATGATAGTTGCCAGTGGTTGAAGGATTGGGGATAGACAGTTGTTGCTTACTGGGCATAGAATTTTAGTTTTGCAATATGAAAAGAGTTTTATAGGTTGGTTGCATAATGTGAGTGTATTTAAGATGACTGAACTGTAAACTTATAAATGATTAAGATGATAAATTTATGTTATATGTATTTTACCACAATTTTTAAAAAGTCTTAAAAAACAGATTCTTCCAGAAATATTTTGTATCCTCCTTAGCTTTAAACTTCAGTAGCTGACTTTTGTTTATTTAAGAATTTTTTCCTTTTTTTGCCAATCTCTGTTAATGTAATAAAGCATACCTTAAGCTTTATATTCAATCATTTGTTAAACAATGTTTTGCTTCTTTTAATTTTTCCTTAAATTGCATTTGATTGGGACACATGATGAAATAGGTGATGATTCCATTACCATGTAGCTCTTATGTGGCTTTTATGCTCTACCTGTACTGTTTTCATAGGAGTATGATGTTACTCTTCTTCGTATTTAGAGTGACATGTCTCCCAGGGGTACAAGGTGTACAAACTTTCAAATTGTTAAGCTGGGAGTAGTTTTTATAACGCCCTTCTAAAGTAGCTAAAAAATGCACCACACATAATGTGTTGGTCATCTTGCCTTGCCCATCCCTAAAGCTATGAAACCAAAGAAACCCAAACCCTAATGATTAAATGGTCTGAAAATGCTGGCAATGGGAGGAACAGTCATAGAGTTTTCCTCACTTTTAAAACTATGAAATGTAATCTTTCCATTTTTCTAAAGACTGCATTTGGCTGAAAGCAGGTTTAAGGAAAGGAACCATAGCTAAGTGAAAGAAATCCAATGAAACAGAGATTTAAGAGCCTGGATGGAAAGAGCTTTATGTAGAAAGAATGAAAAAAGACAAAATTTCACAGTGTTTTTGCCTCTGAACTTTGCCTGGGGTTGCGGAGTTTTTTTTTTTTTTTTTTTTTAGTTGTCATCTGAGTTGTATTAATAGCTTTTTTCATTTTGGCAGCTTTATCTTTGGGGTATTTGGACATTTGGGTCTCAACTGAGGAAACCTGTGTTGTCTCAGGTATTCTATCTCACTTCTCATTGTTTAGCTTTCTTCTTCATATAATTTATAATACCGGGTATCCATCATTTCTTTCTTTTTAATTTCAGCTTCAGGTGGCCAGGTGCAGTGGATCATTCCTGAAGCCCCAGCACTCTGGGAGGCTGACGTGGGAGGATCACTTGTGCACAAGAGTTTGAGACCGGCCTGGGAAACATAGTGAGACTTCATCTCTACTAAAAAAAAAGAAAAAAATTAAGTTCTTCTGAGATGCTTCTCTGATATTCTTCAGAGATGACCCATGGTAAGGGCTTTTAATGGACAAAACAGCCATTACTGCATCCAATTCTTTGCCTAACGAATCAGTGTATAAATAAATGCATCAATAAACCCATAGGATTTTCTTCTCTGTTAGCATTTTCTTAAGTGCATTGTCAGTCCTTCTTTCTGTTGTATCTGTGTGACTTTTCTTTTACATGTGCATCTGTCAAACAGACTAATCTTGATTCTATAATTTGCAAACTGTCTAGAATGTTGGTGTGTTGTGGATCAGAGGATTTTGATCACATATATAAATACATCTCTGTTCTTGCCTGAAGTGTTAGAATTCTTTAGTAAACATTAGTTTCCATTGTTTTGAGACATTTGCAAATACTGTCTTTATTTGAAGTAATGACTTGCCAAAGATAACAAAGTAGTTCTTGGTATTTCTTTTATCTGTAAAATGAAAGCTTCACAAGTCTGGTGAGGTTCCAGTGAAATAGGATGTCAGGAGTGCCAACCTCAGTGTCTGGCATGCAGGAGCTGTTTGGTGTATAATCATGGAAAAGAGACAGACTGGCGGGGGATGGTGGCTCATACCTGTAATCCCAGCACTTTGGGAGGCCAAGGAAGGCAGATCACTTGAGGTCAGGAGTTTGAGACCAGCCTGGCCAACATGGTGAAACCCCGTCTCTACTAAAAATAAATGTATTGATGAACCCACCAGATTTTCTTCTCTGCTAGTATTTCCTTAAATGCATTGTATGCTTTCATTCTGTCTATCTGTGTGACTTTTCTTTTACATGGTGCATCTGTCAAACAGACTAATCTTGATTCTATAATTTGCAAACTGTCCATTTTATAATTGCAAAATTAGCTGGGTGTGATGGTGTGTGTCTGTAATCCCAGCTCCTCAGGAGGCTGAGGCAGAAGAATCACTTGAACCCAGTGGGTGGAGGTTGCAGTGAGCCAAGATTGCACCACTGCACTCCAGCCCCTGAGAACACATCTCTGTCTCAAAAAAAAAAAAGAGAGAGACTGAACCTTAGGTGTCTGGGCTCCCAGTTCAAATTTTGAATCACATAATTTTGAAAGAATCACATAAAAGTTATATTTTATTATAGGATATGATTTCAATAATAAGTGCAGAATGACGTGCAGATAGTAACCATCAATCAGTATTTGTGTATGTGTGATAGATTACTAGTATTTAAGAGATTTTCAGATTAATTTTCAGATTAATGTATTGCAGGTTTTTAGACTAGTAGGAAAACCAAATACTGAAATGTATGGCGTATTGCTCATGATGAATCTTTACAGAACTGAGACTAGAACTTGGGGATTCTATCTTCTGTTCATTTGAGAAAACGTTCTGTTGTTTGTTTTTCAGACAGACGCATCAGATCAGAGTAGGGAAGTTGCTGGGTTTAGAGTATTTGCTGAAGGTTGACAAAACTTTCTGTGGCAGACAGTAAAGAAGGGAAAGTATACATTTAAACAAGTTTTTAGCCTTTAATTTTTGTGGGTACATAGTAGGTATGCAGATTTCTCATGGGGTACATGAGATATTTCGATATAGGTATACATAACACTTAGGGTAAATGGGGTACCCATCACCTCAAGCACTTATCCTTTGTGTTACAAACATTCCAGTTATGCTACTTTTAGTTATTATAAATTATACTATTAAGTTATTATTGACTATAGTCATTCTGTTGTGCTATGAAATACTAGGTCTTATTCTTTCTATTTTTTTGTACCCATTAAGCCTACTTACTTTTTCCTGACTCCTCCATTTCCCTTCCCAGCCTCTGATAACGATCATTGTACTCTGTATCTCCATGAGTGCAATTGTTTTAATTTTTAGCTCCCACAAGTAAGTGAGAACATGCAAAGTTTGTCTTTCTGGGCTTGGCTTATTTCACTTAACATAATGACCTTCAGTTTCATCCATGTTGTTGCCAATGATGGGGTCTCATTCTGAATAGTACTCCGTTGTGTCCATGTGCCACTTTTTCTGTCCAATCTACTGTTGATGGATGCTCAGGTTGCTTCTAAATCTTGGCTACTGTGAATAGTGCTGTAATAAATATGGGAGTGCAGGTGTCTCTTTAATATGCCAATTTTCTTTCTTTTGGACACATTGGAAAGTATAGATTTGATGTGCGAACCATCTCTTTGTAATGCCTGAGAGATTGTAGATACACAATAAGTATTCCTTGGATTAATAAAACTAGCTGGCCTGATTTTCTTCATAAACAACCTGGGTCGCTGATTACTTTTGCTCTTTACTTTGTGTTGTGTTTTGTTTTCTGAATCTTTATGCTCCACTTCTGTGTTAGTGATTTTCAGTGTGTGGTGGTGGAGAACGGGGCTTGGTGGTGAGAGGAAATGTCATTTGGGAGTGGGGCAGAAAGGATAGGCAAGAGTCACATGGGGACCTCGCTGTGGGGAGTCATTGTTTGGGCCAGCCTCTTGCTGGTGGCTGCTGTAGGCCTCACCAGGCTCAACCACTTAGAAGAGGAAAAAAAGGTTTTGCAGTAATAACATGACCAAGAGTTCACTCCAGTGGATCTAGCACCACCCATCGATGGATTGGGTGTGCCATTGTCACACCCCAGAAATCTACCAGTTCTGTGCCTGTTTCTCTTCCTTCACTCCTTTCTCTCTTTCCCCATCACCTTTGTCCATTTTTTCTCTTCCTGGTTTAAGTGTGTCTATTTGAAGGCTTCATTTTCTCCACCAGGAAGCATCTGCTTGGTCATGCTATTTGGCCAAATTTTGTTCTGGAAGAAAAATCACTTGGCTTTGTTCTTATATGTCAGTGTGTTAGAGTCTCTCTAAATAACTCAATTCTCTACGTTTCCTGAGGATCATTCAGTGACTTTATGGAGAGTTAGGGGAATGGGTGACTTTGCAGGGGTTGGATGCTTTGTCCTCCAGGGTCCACAGTCAAGACAGTTTGAAGTCAGCACAGTTTTCAAGGATTTGGCTCTGCTTAAAAGTCCTTTTGAGCCTTTCTTCATACCAGGCAGACTGTGGTTTTCTCTTCAGAAAATCCGCAAATGTGAAAAACCCAGATTGCAACTTGAGCAGTAGGGCCCAGCCCCCATGCCTCTTGCCAATGCTAAGTCCATACATTGGACCTTCCCGCTCTGTCTCTTTGAGCTTGACCCCTCAACCTCCTGGAGGCCTCTGATGACAGAGAAGCTGCAAATCTTTGGTTCAGGAATCCAGGGCTTAAATAGTAGCTTCAAAGAAAAAGAATGGCATGGTATTTTATATAAGATTCTATTTTATCTGATGGCATTTTATATGATAGGCCCAGAGAAAGCTTCATCAGCCTCATGTCTCTTGTGCTCTGTACACCAGAACAACACAGCATTTGAGTACAGTTGATGTCTCTAGAACAAGCCACCATGTTCTCATCCATAAAATTGTTACATTGGTCTATTTACTTTTCAAGTTCCCTTCCAGCTCAAAGTTTTAGCAATCTGGTAATTAAATATGTTATTTCTCATATTTAGGAAGTGTTGTGTATAGGAATTAGAAGGGATTTTCTTTACTAGATCATTAGCTGCCAAAGTTCACTACTTGTACTTGTGAACTGGGTAGGGTGGAAATTACACTTAGCAGTCCCCTTAACTGGCCTCTATGTGTCTGCTCCAAGGAAAGCTCTCATAAAGGCACCCAACTGAGGAAGAGGATACTCGCCTAGAAATTCTTTCAAAACAGTGTTCTTGATCAGAGTTACAATTAGAAATAAACAAAGACAACCAGAAAAATCTCTGTGAGTTGATAATTCTCTTAGATAACTCTGGTATAAAGGGAAATATATATTTATGATAAGAGTGTCTTTTGAATACTGATGAGATGGCTTGCTGCCAATAGAAATACTAGCTATGAAGCCAGATCTTTCCAGAAAGGGAGAAAAGGAATGGGACTCAGTTGTGATGTGGACGCTGACTAGATGGAGTGAGGAGAAGTTCTCAGTAAACAATTATGCTTCTCTTTTGGTGCCCGTACCCTGGAGTCAGGGAAACCAGGTGCCTGGAAACCTTGGTTGAAGGGTGTCATGTAAGCCTGTCTCCTTCCCACAGTGGCATTCGACAGCAAGTCCAGGACCTACCATAACCCTTCTGTGTGTAGAATGGACACAAGCACATAGTTCTAAAGAAGAATAATGGATGAGCCATTCATTGGAGGTGACTGGGTGTTTCTAGAAGTACTTTTGATGTGATTCATCTTGGAGCAAGGCCTAAAACCACACCTTCTTCTGTTCTGTGTATCCAAATTTTATCACTTTTCAAGGGCTATCTCTTCTGGAACACTCCAACCCTTAACGTGCCAGCTTCTCCTTCTCCCTGCATAATTTTTCTTTCTTACTCTTCTTACAGTTTCCACTACATTATGTAACACTTGGTCCTTCTTGTATATTTCTTTGACAATAAAAAAGGAGAGTATTCATTGTAAAAAAATTTAAACATGCAGATGTGTTTTCTTTAAAGATTTTTAAGTTTTACAAGTTGTACATGTTTATTTTGAAAAATGAGAAAGTGCATGTAAACAGCAGGAAATAAAGATAACTTGGAAGAGGATTCAAGATGGCGCTGTCAGAACAACCCAGGATTGATGCTCATGGTCAATGTGCGGAGGGGGTGAGTCAGGGCCACATTTCCAGACGGATCTTTGTTGCCCACAGAATGGGGAAATTCCTAGGTATAGAGGAGACGCGGGATGCCAGGCAGAGGTTTTGGCTGGTGCGGCGGCGGCCTGCGCTGTGGCGGTGCTACACAGCGCTCCGCACAAAGCGCGCTTGTCTGGGTGCCCTGTTGGGCCGGCAACCTGAGACTTGGGAGGGCTGAACTTGAGACTGAACGGGACTTGGACAGTGAGCCAGCCCAGGAGATTCCAGGGTCACAGCGTTTGGGGTAGCGCAGTGGGACAAACAAAACGGCGATTCCTAACACTCCCCGTGGAGGGGTTCCCTGAGGCCGCAGCTCCGTGCGGGAGGTGCATCTGACATTACCGAGGCAAACCACCGCTACTGAGGTACACGCTCATTGCTGACGCAGCCTGCCATTGCCGAGGCAACCAGCTACAACAGAGAGACTCCGCTGCACGGCGTAGCTGTGGCAGCAGGGCAGAGACCGCAGCAGAAGGGCAGAGCCTGCAGCAACAGGGCGAAACTCACACCAGCAGGGCGGAGCCTCGGCAGGCAAATAGTGACTAGACTGCCTCCTAGCTGGGCAGGACAGCACAGCAGACACTCACAAGGAAAGCCCCAACCCCCCCCAGACAGAGTATCTGAGAAAAAAAGGGTTTTTTTTTATGAGTTATGTTGCAGCAAAATTAAACATAGCAGCCTAACAGCCCTGAATGCACAACAGAGCTCACAGCTCAGCACTTGAGCTCCTATAAAGTACAGACCGTCTCCTCAAGCAGCTCCCTGACCCCTCTATATACAAAAGACTGACATTTGGCAGGCATCATTCTGGGACAAAGATAGCAGAAAAAGAAACTGGTAGCATCCCTTACTGTTCCGCAGCTGCTATAGGTGCACCCCAGACAAGCAGGGCCTGGAGTGGACCTCAGCAGTCGTACAGTGAAGGGGCTAGACTGGTAGAAGGAAAAGCAAGTAACAGAAATACTTCAGCATAAACAATCTGGGTGTCCACTCAGAGACCCAATCGAAAAGTCAGCAACTACACAGAAGACAGGTGGATAAACCCAGAAAGATGGGAAGAAACCAGTGCAAAAAGGAGGAAAACACCCAAAACCAAAACAACTCACCTCCTACAAAGGACCAAAACTCCTCACCAGCAAGGGAATAAAGCTGGATGGAGAATGACTGTGATGAAATGACGGAATTAGACTTCAGAAGGTGGATAATGAGAAACTTTTGTGAGCTAAAAGAACATGTTTTAAATCAATGCAAAGAAACTAAGAACCTCGAAAAAAGATATGAAAAAAGATTCAAGGAAATGATAACAAGAATGGATAACTTAGAGGGAATATGAATGAATTAAAGGAGCTGAAAAACACAATATGAGAACTTCGCAAAGCATGCACAAGTTTCAATAGCCGAATTGACCAAGCAGAAGAAAGGATATCAGAAGTCGAAGATCAACTCAATGAAATAAAACGAGAAACCAAGATCAGAGAAAAAAGCGCAAAAAGGAATGAACAAAGTCTCCAAGAAATGTGGGACTATGTGAAGAGACCTAACCTACGTTTGATAGGTGTACCAGAGCGGGACGAAGAGAATGAATCCAAGCTGGAAAATATTCTTCAGGACATTATCCAGGAAAATTTCCCCCACCTAGCAAGACAGGCCAACACTCAAATGCAGGAAATACCGAGAACACCACAAAGGTATTCCGCAAGAAGAGCAACCCCAAGGCACATAATCGTCAGATTCAACAAGGTTGAAAAAAAGGAGAAAATACTAAGGGCAGCCAGAGAGAAAGGTTGGGTCACCCACAAAGGGAAGCCCATCAGACTCACAGCAGATCTCTCGGCAGAAACTCTACAAGCCAGACGAGAGTGGGGGCCAATATTCAACACCCTTAAAGAAAAGAACTTTCAACCCAGAATTTCATATCCAGCCAAACTGAGCTTCAGAAGTGAAGGAAAAATAAAATCCTTTGTGAACAAGCAAGTACTCAAACACCACCAGGCCTGCTTTACAAGAGCTCCTGAAAGAGGCACTACACATAGAAAGGAAAAACAAGTACCAGCTATTCCACAATCAACCTAATGAAGAATCTACAACATAATGAAGAATCTACAACAACTAACAAGCAAAACAGCCAGCGAGGATCAAAATGGCAGTATCAAATTCACACATAACAATATTAACCCTAAATGTAAATGGACTAAATGCACCAAGCAAAAGACACAGTCTGGCAAATTGGATAAAAAGCCAAAACCCATCGGTGTGCTGTATCCAGAAAACCCATCTCACATGCAAGGATACACAAAGGCTCAAAATAAAGGGATGGAGGAAGATTTACCAAGCAAATGGAGAGCAAAAAAAAAAAAAAGCAGGAGTTGCAATTCTCATCTCTGATAAAATAGACTTTAAAGCACAAAGATCAAAAGAGACAAAGAAGGCCATTACATAATGGTAAAAGGATCGATACAACAAGAAGAGCTAACGATCCTAAACATATATGGCCCCAATACAGGAGCACCCAGGTACATAAGGCAAGTTCTTAACAACTTACAAAGAGACTTAGACTCCCACACAATAATAGTCGGAGACTTTAACACTCCACTGTCAATATTAGACAGATCAACCAGACAGAAAATCAATAAGGATATCCAGGGCTTGAACTCAGACCTGGAGCAAGCAAACCTGATAGACATTTACAGAACTCTCCACCCCAAATCCACAGAATATACATTCTTCTCAGCACCACATCACACCTACTCTAAAATTGACCACATAATTGGAAGTAAAGCACTGCTCAGCAAATGCAAAACAACTGAAATCATAACAAACAGCCTCTCAGACCATAGTGCAATCAAGTTAGAACTCAGAATTCAGAAAATAACTCAGAACTGCACAGCTTCTTGGAAACTGAACAACTGGCTCTTGAATGTTGACTGGATAAACAATGAAATGAAGGCAGAAATAAAGAAGTTCTTCAAAACCAATGAGAATGAAGACACAACATGCCAGAATCTCTGGGACACATTTAAAGCAGTCTCTAGAGGAAAGTATATAGCAATAAGTGCCCATATGAGAAGAATGGAGAGATCCAAAACTGACACCCTATCATCAAAATTGAAAGAGCTATAGGAGCAAGATCAAAAAAACTCAAAACCCAGTAGAAGACAAGAAATAACTCACATCAGAGCAGAACTGAAGGAGATTGAGAGACGAAAAACCCTCCAAAAAATCAATAAATCCAAGAGCTGGTTTTTGAAAAGATCAACAAAATAGACAGACCACTAGCCAGATTGATTAAAGAGAAAAGAGAGAACAACCAAATAGATGCAATAAAAAATGATAAAGGGGAAATCACCACAGATTCCACAGAAATTCAAACCATCATCAGAGAATATTACAAACAACTCTATGCACATAAACTAGTAAACCTGGAAGAAATGGATAAATTCCTGGACTCCTGTGTCCTCCCAAGCCTAAACCAGAAGAAAGCTGAAACTATGAATAGACCAATAACAAGGGCAGAAGTCGAGGCATCAATTAAGAGCCTACCACACAAAAAAGCCCAGGTCCAGACGGGTTCACAGCCGATTTCTACCAGACACACAAAGAGGAGCTGGTACCATTCCTTCAGAAACTATTCCAAATAATCAAAAAAAAAGGAATCCTTCCCAAATCATTCTATGAGACCAATATCATCCTGATACCAAAACCCGGCAGAGACCCAACAAGAAAAGTAAACTTCAGGCCAATATCCATGATGAACGTAGATGCAAAAATCTTCAATAAAATATTGGCAAGCCGATTGCAACAGCAAATCAAAAAACTTATTCATCATGATCAAGTAGGATTCATCCTGGGGATGCAAGGCTGGTTCAACATATGCAAGTCTATAAACGTAATTCACCACATAAACAGAACCAAAAACAAAAACCACATGATTATGTCAATTGATGCAGAGAAGGCATTTGACAAAATCCAACAGCCCTTTATGCTAAAAACCCTCAATAAACTCGGTATCGATGGAACGTATCTCAAAGTAATAAAAGCTATTTATGACAAACCAACAGACAATATCATACTGAATGGGAAAAAACTGGAAGCATTCCCTTTGAAATCCAGCACTAGACAAGGATGCCCTCTTTCACCACTCCTATTCAATATAGTACTGGAAGTTCTAGCCACAGCAATCAGGCAAGAAAAAGAAATAAAGGGTATTCAAATAGGAAAGGTGGAAGCCAAATTGTCTCTATTTGCAGACGACATGATAGTATACCTAGAAGACCCCATCGCCTCAGCCCAAAAACTCCTGAAACTGATAAGCAACTTCAGCAAAGTCTCAGGATATAAAATCAATGTGCAAAAATCACAAGCCTTCCTCTACACCAATAACAGACTTAAAGAGAGCCAAATCAAGAAAGAACTGCCATTCACAATTGCTACAAAAAGAATAAAATACCTAGGAATACAACTTACAAAGAACGTAAGGGACCTCTTCGAGGAAAACTACAAACCACTGCTCAACGAAATCAGAGAGGACACAAGCAGATGGAGAAACATTCCATGTTCATGGTTAGGAAGAATTAATATCGTGAAAATGGCTATACTGCCCAAAGTAATTTACAGAATCAATGCTATACCCATCAAGCTACAATTGACTTTCTTCACAGAACTGGAAAAAACAACCATGAACTTCATATGGAACCAAAAGAGAGCCCGCATAGCCAAGTCAATTCTAAGCAAAAAGAACACAGTGGGGGGCATCACACTACCGGACTTCAAACTATACTACAAGGCTACAGTAATCAAAACAGCATGGTACTGGTACCAAAACAGAGATATAGACCAATGGAACAGAACAGAGGCATCGGAGGCAACACAACATATCTAAAACTATACAATCTTTGATAAACCCATCAAAAACAAGCAATGGGGAAAGGATTCCCTGTTCAACAAATGGTGTTGGGAAAACTGGCTAGCCATGTGCAGAAAGCAGAAACTGGACCCTTTCCTGACACCTTACACCAAAATTAACTCCAGATGGATTAAAGACTTAAACATAAGACCTGGCACCATAAAAACCCTAGAGGAAAATCTAGGCAAAACCATCCAAGACATAGGAGTA